CTACATTACCTCCAGCATACCACTGATCTCTCAGCACCGCAGCACCATTACATAGGTACCGCTGCACCATAACATAAGCACGCGCAGTGCAATATCATCAGCACACGCAATGCTAACCTGATTGTACCGCAGCACCATAATCTAAGCACACGCAGTGCTATATACCGCTAACATATCTTTTCCACCAATCTCATATCTTTTCATCATCCATGGACATCAACACCACATTCAAAACTCAACAACAACTTCATCAAGGGATAACCAGGGAAAGGGAAGACCATACGAATAGACTCACAACGACACGTGACATCAATATAAACATGCGACCTACGAGGAATAACATAGACCATACTTTGGACCAACACAACACAGGTTTAGTCCACATGCATAAACACGACTCACGAATCCTATTTACGGTACCTAGGACATTATTCTAAACCCACAAACATCAAAGAAGACACTCCGAGGCACGAGGTTCGACCAAACGGAGACCGAACGACCCCGCACTGGCAAGTACCAGCGAGTGGACAACCACCCGCCGACCTCCCGCCGGCGGAACCTTAACGTTCCAGCGGGTGGTCGTCCACCCGCCAGCCGCCCGCTGGAACTTTTTCGCCATTCCGGCGGGTGGTCAAGTGGGGGGTTCGTCCCCCCACGACTACCTGCTGGAACAATATCCCTGGGAATTTTCCACTTCGGGAATATACCAATTTTATCCAAAATCAAGTCCAAAACACACCCAACACTCACATCAACAATTATAGGGACTTGAATGCATAGAACGACTCAACGAACAACATTATTGAACCCTAAACACAAGCTATAAACATGCTCGCTTAACACAAGAACATGCACATAATTACCCCCAAGATCATCAAGAACATCAAGAATATAAAGAGATCACAATATAAACCCTAAATACAAGCTCTAAAAAGGTATAATCGCAAGATAACGCATTCATAACTCAAGGATTCCAATAAATCATAACATAGTAAGGAAAATATGTTTTGTAAGACATGGGTTACCTTTTAGCTTAATTAAACTTCTCACGACTCCTACGATTCTTCCTCAGGGTTCTCTCCCAATCGATCTTTCCTAGGCTTGGTGATGGGAAATTCTTTGACTATCTCTTTGGGAGTGATTTTCGAGTGAGAGGGATGGGTGAAAGGGTTCTGAATGCTTTTTAGTCCCCTTTAAATAGGTTTAGGATTCCTAATTAGAATCTGAATAGTATTGGACCCACCTTCTTTATTCTAACGGGCTTAGAGGCTTAAATATAGACAATGGTCCACGGTCCACCATGGACCATACCAATTAATTAAGGGTCCCGGCCGAATTAAATCCCTTTTCAGCTACTCCTAACGGAATTAATTAAATAATTAATTTGGGTTTAAACGGTAAAATTACGGGGTGTTACAAGGATGAAAGTAAATAAGATATTGTAAAAAGGAATATATTTACGGTATAAAAGTATAATTAGACATATATTAGTATAATTGCCTAATAATTATTATGGGAATTATGTTAAACATGGGTCGTTGGATTTATTTTTAAATTATTACAATTAAATTTTTTCACCTTTTTCATATTTATTTTAGTAATAATATAATTACATTAATTATATTACGTATCGATTTTTCCAAAATAATTGCAGACAAACAAGTCATATATTATTCAATTAATTAAGTGATAGTTTTGCACTAAATTTATAATCAAATAAATGTGCACTTTCAAATATTAGAATTATTTATAATTTCATCTTTAATTTTCTCATTTAAATATATAATAAAAAATTTTATCCGTGAATGGCACGATTAATTTACTAGTGTATTGTAATTATAAAAGTGAGTTAACATGCTGCTCCATTTAGGGGTCGTTATATCGTGCACCGCGGTGCATAATCGCGCGTCAGACGCTACAGTGTGTCTAAACCGACACTGGCTCACGTATTATTTTTATATTATCAAATGAAACTACAGTTATATCAAAATGATACTGTAGTTGTGGTGAAATGAAACTACAGTATATATAAAATGAAACTAAATAACATTTCACATATTTGAGTGTATATTGTACAATGAAGCTGTAATTATATTCAAATGATCATGTAGTTGTGTTTTAATGAAATTATAGTGCATATAAAATAAAATTAAATAACATTTTCACATACTTGAGTGTATAAATATTGAATGAAACTGTAGTTATATCGAAATGAAACTGTAGTTGTGTTGAACTGAAACTGCAGTGTATACAAAATGAAACTGAAGAACAGAGTTATTTTTTGCGAAGATTCTGTTTCTTTTCATTAAATAAAACGACGTCGTTTTGACAGTGTCAGTTTAAACACACTGTAGTGTCTGATGCGCGGTGCATAATCAATTATGCACCGTGGTGCACAATATAATTTGCCTCCATTTAGCTAACCTTAAAATATTTAAATGTGGGCTAAGGTAAACAAACCCATTTCCAAAATGGGACAACACAACCTGACCCACTTTTTGATGATCCGTCACGGATCCGTTTGAACGAGGCAGATGGACTGTTTTGACAACTCTAATCAAATGGATAGGAAAAGAAGAGAAAACGTAAATGATTCACATTTTTATTTTAGACAAAATATTGTAGTAAAATGTATGGTAGATTGATAGAGGTATTAAAAAAAAAAAATTATAGTATGTATCATGTTAAACCATTTGAATAAATTTTACAGTATGTTTGGTTCGCACATAAAAATCGAAATCGGGATACGAATCAAATACTTGATAATGATAATGAGTTTTGGTGAAAGTATTTTACATGTTTGATAAGAGTGTGGAATTGGAATGATTTATCAATATTGATGTTTGGTTATGTATTACCCTATAATGGGAACAAAAATTTTAAAAATATAAAAATAAAAAATCAAGGCAATTGATCATTATATAATGACATCTAAAGCACCAATATTAACAAAAACTCAAAACAAAAATTTAAAAGCACTAATCTAAATTTAAAAATCAAATTACCGTATTTAAAAAAAAAAAAATCAAATTATCAATATAAGATGGAATGATACCTATTTTTAATTAGGGAATAAGGTTCTTAATCAAACAGGTAATCAAATTTCATAATTGTGTATTTTAAAAAATTATCAACTAAATAATAACTATGATTTTGGTTCACATTTCTAATATGTAAACCTCTAAACCAAACACGCCCTTAATTTCTTCACTCCCAAAGAAACTTATGGTGAGAACTGAAAAAGTGTGGTCGCACACTATGCTACAATCTCAGCGGACCTTATTAAGGACACTTGTAATGCTAGCTTTCTGACAGTCGAAAAGAAGTTCCATATATCAGGATTTTTTTATTTTTTATTTTTTATTTTTACAAAAAATTGGCATTTCCCTATTCTGTATATTATCCACTCAGCTCGGATAACATTATACCAAAATCAAACTCTAATTTAATTCATTTGTAATAAAATTGATCATTTTTCGTACAAATAATTAATGACTATAAATGATTATGATATTTGCTCGTCACGTAGGATGTGTATTGTGTAATAATAATCTCTTACATAACTTACATTGAATATAAAATAGCCAAAGTACCTATATTATTTGGGTTATTGAAAAAGCCCGTGTATCTTGAAATCAATTTAACACTAAGGATTCTACTTGATTTTATATTACGAGACAATTTCGCTGTTTAATTAAATCAATTTAATCAACGTATAAATAACGAAATTGAAAGCATAAATAAAGTAAAGACACAGTAGAATTGTTACGCAGTTCGGAGCTCCTTCTCCTACGTCTGCGGGGCAACCCACGTCTGCTCAATCTACTAGATGCTCACAACCTTTACCACTACAACTCTTCTAAAACACCTATTCAGGACTGAACCGTGCATGCCATAACCATCTTTGGTGTATCGCTTCAACTGTCACAGGTACTGACTTGAAGTACAGAATTAAATCACAAATATAACATAATCAATATTAAAGCAGTAATATAGAAAGCTTGCGTATGTGATCAGAATTTCAGAATTGGCAACTTCCTCTTTCGTTTTCCCTTCCTTATATACTGTACGTAATTTCCATTTCACCAAGCCTTGATTGTAGCTTTCATATGTGGCTTGAATTCTTCTCAACCACATCTTCTTTAACTTGAGATCTTCAGACTTGCTCTTTGTCCAACTTATTAACAATAAATCTCCACCACACATTTTAGCTTGGTCCAAAATACTAATTACAACTCATACTAATTAACATTACATATTAATAAAATAAACTAATAAATTAGCCAATCTAATGTGTACTATTTTGTACACTTACAATCTCCCCCTTTGGCAATTTATTTGGTAAAACAATAGTATCATTATACTTTGGGAAAAAGAAATGAATAGTTTATTAACATCCCAAAGTATACATACTGAACATATAAAGAAAATTAAATATGCAATTTTAAATCTTTTAGAACCAGACCAAAGCTTATTTGTGTGTGGGATTTTATTTTGGACCTTAGTTGATGTTGACTCACATACTTCATCCAATCAATAAATAGTGACTCATGCACGAAAAAGTGTTGTATCAAACATACCATATATGTCACGCTTTCCATACTGTAATTTGAATTACTCCCCCTAACTTGGAGCTTTCCTTTCTTCATATGCATTCCAATTAAAACCAATTCATACCATGCAGTCAACATACCAAATACACCAAGACATTCATACTTAAGTCATTCATAGTCATACCAAAAATATTTATAGTCATACCAAATTATTAATAGCATCCGAACCAAGGATTAACATCCATACCAAAATATACCAAATACTAAAAACTTACCAAACATCCAAACATTCCAAACATTCCCATACTCCCCCTTTGTTTATGCCAAATAAATGACAAACAAACCGGTGAACATCATACTAGTGGATTGGATTAACTTGCAGACCGGGTTGCCCGACTCAGATTCATCACTCTCAGATATAGAACCAGTGCCAGCGCCAGTATTAGTTCAGATCCAAGCATAGATGGCCTCCATTCTAGCTATTTCTTCCAACTGAGCACCCAACAACTTTTCTAAGTCATCAATGGTTATTTGTTGAGAAGCAACCGATGTGCGAATTTGAGCAATTGACGCTTGAAGAGTGAGAACAATTTGACGGCAATCCATGAGCGTCTGAGGTTCCTTGAACACTGCCGTAGGACGAAGATTCGGGGCTGAAGCAGTGTCAGCAGATGATGCAGGGGCAGACACAGAGGGCGTGACAGTTGGTGCGTCGGGAGTGATCATGAGCGTAGCTCTATCATCATAGTGATCCTTATGGGTTAAACGAACATCGTATTTATAGACTGAGTCATTAGCAATTACCACCTCATCTTTGTAGGGCTTGAACCCATATTCCTGTAGAAACCCGAAAATTAAACTAGGAAACAGAAGATGTACCTTAGGTTCCCTATGTCGCACAAATTGAGCGAGATAACCAAAAATGATTTCTCCAAGATTGAAAGGAAGTCGGTTCCTGATCTTGTAAAGGAGGGCAGCAAGCTGGTCAGACACAAGATGATGACGCACAACCGGCATCCAATTTGTTGAAGCAAGCCGTAAAAGAACAGAGTAGATCGTGGTGAGCTTTAGGCTTTCGAGTCCGGTGCCTGGCCAAGTGACGACTTTGTTGTGAGTTAAAGCAGCAACTAGGAGATTAGGACTCGGGTCAGGGGCAGCTTGATGATTTGGAGTACCCAAATAGGAATTGATCACGACCGGACTTAAGGGATACCATTTATCCCAGATGAAAACTTGTTGAAATCGAGGTGACCCCTCTGAAAAAGTATCCAAAGTTAAATTCGTGTAGAACTCGGCAGTGAGCCATGTGGAGTATGGTCCAATATGAACAAGTGAGGCAAGTAGGCATTGATCTCGCAAGATAGGCACAATGTTGCATTTTTTTGTCAGCTCTTCCACATTGATGGATTTCTCCACTATAAAATCTCTAGTGGCATGAACACTCTAATCAGACATCAAAGTTGGAGACAATAAAATCGAATGGTATGTCTTCTTAGATTTCTTCATCTTTGAGCCAGATGAGACAGTGGCAGCTGCTGGTGCAGGGGCTGGACTTGGTACTGGGCCTGAAACTGATCTGGACCTTGTCACCCTGGGTGGCAATGTAGACCCTCTTTTTGATTGCTTGGAATCAGACAAGCAGACAACATCCTCCAATGCTCCAATTTTTCTTTTCTCGGCTGTACCTGAAACAATAATTTTTTCTTTCCCTTTTCGGGAAGATTTGCCCACGGGCACAGAGATAATAGGAACAGAGTCATGTAAGGTGGGCACAGGGATGGGAACCTCTGCGGATTTTGAGACTGGAATGGTTATGGGAATAGAGAATGCAACACAAGTCATGGGAGACACATATTGGTTAATATTTCGAATGGTAAAGGGAGATGACATAGCATGCACTAAATCAGATAATGGCACAAGATTTTCAGGCAATTTTGTGAATAAGGATCATATGGATCACCTTGTATAGGAAAGGAAGGGGCACACATATCACTAGAGGGAATGATAGACACAAACTGATCTGGCAAAGAAAGGTTGAAATCTAACTTTCTAGAAGCTGAAACATTGTCATCTAACGGTGAGGAGATTACCGTATTTTCCGGAGATGAGGCATGCACCGTCTCCTGTTGTGATGGAGGCGGTTTGGGTAGATCCACCTGAAGAGTCCACGGCTTGGCTGAGATGAACCGGGTAAGAGCTTTGATTTGTCGAATTTCTTTGTCCGAAAGGCCTTCAAGGAGACTTTCACATATTTTAACCGTGGCAAGCACTCGATCGGTGTCATCAGATGTGAGGGGAGAATCAGCGTCGATAATCTGTCGAAGGAGCTCTAATCTTTCCGATTTCGTGGTGAAGATAGCAAAAGGATTGTCTTCTTCCATTGTTGAAGAGTTTTCGAAGGAAGCTTTAAGGATGAAGATGAAAGTGACGGTGGTGATGGGTAAGAGAGACAAAGAGATAATGAATTAATTTGTTAATGAATGATGGTGAAGAGATGGTTCTCAAAAGATGTGAAAGTAGGGAAAGGATTGACTAGGTTGTAAGACTAGAAAGTAGAGTTATAATAGAAGAGTATTGTGGATGATAGAATCAGTATCTGAGTTTAAGATTTAATTTTGAGAATAAATTAAATATGAGAGGTCAAATGAGCCGTATAAGGTAACTAATTTTTAGATAGAGGTTTGGGGAAAATTTGAACTATATGGTTTGATTTTAACTGGTATTAAATATGGGGAAAGGATAATATTATGGATTAAAAAGTCGAATGAGCCCTTCTGCAACACAGTTAAACAAACTGCCATGTTAACATAAAAAGATTAATTGGAATTTATTTGTAATACCTGGTGTGGTAGATTAAGCCGTGGGATTGCAAACTCCAAGTGCTGCTCTAAGTAGTTCAAATCTCGATTTGTCTAACGGCTTGGTGAACAAGTCTGCAAGATTTTTATCTGTTGAAGTATATTCCAAAGTAATTTCTTTCCCTTCAACAAGTTCACGAATAAAGTGGTGTCGAATGTCTATGTGTTTCGTCCTGGAGTGTTGGACTGGATTTTTAGAGATGTTGCCAGCTGCATCGGTTTTGTTGCGAAAGATCCATTTGGTACCTACAACATTAACATTGTTAGGTTTAGGAATTAGAGACCATACCTTATTTCGTTCGAACTGCCCCAGTTCTTCTTGCATGGCCTTGATCCAGTGTTCGTCTGTTAGAGCTTCTTTGATATTCTTCGGTTCGATCTGCGAAGTATAACAAGAATATCCTGCTAATTGAAGATAATCATGTTTCGGTTTACCTCTGGTTTTTACACCGGAACTGGGGTCTCCAATTACGTTTTGTATTGGATGAGCTTTCTGGATGCGAGTAGGGATATCAATGTTACAGTGATCAGTGTCAGATTCAGACTCAGACTCAGTTCCTTGCTTTGGTTGAGTTGATGTGGGAGATGGCATAAAGGACTCCGGATTAGGTTCAGGGGTTCTGGAATCAGAAGTTTCAGGATAACTTGTGTCAGGATCTGTCACTGGTCCAGGCTGAGACGTTGTGATAATATCGTTCGGTTGATCATCGATTACAACATTTGTAGACTCCATGATGATTTTGGTAACTTTGTTATATACACGATATGCTCTGCTGTTCGTTGAATAGCCGAGGAAGATGCCTTCATCGCTTTTTGGTTCAAACTTTGTGACAGGGTTTCGATCCTTCAAGATAAAACAGCGTGATCCGAAAACATGAAAATATTTAATGTTTGGTTTCTTACCTTTCCATAATGTATACGGAGTCTGATTTGTGCCTGGACATAGATAGACTCGATTGATGATGTGACATGCAGTGTTCACAGCTTCTGCCCAAAATTTTTGAGGTAGTCCTTTGGCATTAAGCAGAACTCGTCCCATTTCTTGAATTGTGCGGTTCTTCCGTTCAACAACTCCGTTTTGTTGAGGTGTTTTCGGTGCTGAGTATTCATGTGTAATTCCTGTTTGGTTGCAGAAGGTATCGAACAGATTGTTGTCGAATTCTCGTCCGTGATCACTTCGGATTCGAATGATGGGTTCATCTCTTTCTTTTTGAAGTTTCAATGCCAGAGTTTTGAAGGTTTCGAGGGTCTCAGACTTGTCCATGAGAAAGGTAACCCAAGAAAAACGAGAATAATCATCTACGCAAACTAGTATGTATTTCTTACCTCCAACACTTTCTGTTTGAGTTGGACCAATGAGATCCATGTGGATCAGTTCCAAGCATTGACTTGTGTTTATGGTGTGCTGAGCTGGATGAGAGGATTTGGTTTGCTTTCTTGCTTGACATGCACCACATATGGTTGGTTTGACTTTTAGCTTGGGTAATCCACGAACACCTTCAATCTTCACAAGCTTGTCAAGAAGTCTGTAACTTAGATGTCCTAGCTTTTGGTGCCAAAGCTCAGTTTTATCTACATTGATCTTGCAACACAAAACATTGTTAGTGAGAATATAGCAATTATCAGTTGACCTTGTACCTTCCATACCACATTGATTTGTTTTATCTAGGACACTGCAGTTATTTTTGGTGAAGCTCACGTTCCAGTTCTGGTCACATAGTTGACTTATACTTATAAGATTTGCATGAAGTCCTTTGACTAGTAGAACTTTCTCTAGTTTTGGCAGACCAACTACGTTTAGCGTGCCTATACCAGTGACTTGTCATTTTATACCGTCGCCAAAGGTAACTTCACCTTTGCTTGTATTAACGTTACTAAGAAATTTAGCATTTCCTGTCATGTGACGTGAACACCCGCTATCGAAGTACCATTTTTCTTCTCGACCTGTACTTTTAGAGTGGAAAGATACGAATGAGATATAATCTGACTTTTTAACCCAGATTTGTCTTGTAAAGGGTTGGATGTTCTTGTGTTTGAACTTCTCGGTTCTTTGATCCTTGTAGAAGTAGTAGCATTCAGGTCTGGTATGACCCCGTAACCTGCAATAATGACATACCGGGTTATAGGATTTATAATATGGCTTGAGTGATATTACTGTACCAACGCGATGTGTCGCTGTGCTAGACTCTGGAATATCTCCTTGACCAGGGCCTGACGCTTTGACAAACACCGTTTTGTCCTTTGAGCTGTTTCCTGTGAAACCTATACCAAATTTTGCCGAAGTCTTTCTTCCAGACTCAAGGATTTCGTCAAGTGTAGACATGGTATCCATCATTTGGATTTGGCGTTTGTAGGTGTTCAGCTCCTGTTTCAGAGTCTGTACCTCTTGTTTCAGTTTTTCTTCTCGAGCCAATGCCTCCTTAAGAAGCAGATCCCTATCGGCTATTTGAGTTTGATATACTTTCTTTGCAGTTGCTACAATCCCTATTTCACTAGTTAATCTACGATTTTCTTTGCTTAGTGCTGCTCATTTGGGATACAACTTATTAAACTCAATTTCAAAAGATGATTCACTTGACTCTAAATCTTCTGCAGAGATATAGTCGCCTCCCTCTGAGTCAGCAACATCTTCATGACCCGGTCCAGCAGCCATATGTGCAGTAAAGGCAACAAAATTACCAGAAATTTTGTCTGGATCAGATCCTCCTGTTTCACCTTCCGAGTCGTCATCACTCCAAGTAACAGCTGACATAGATTTCTTGCGTCGAAGATAGGTGAGACACTCTGCTTGTACATGTCCGAAGCCCTCACATTCATAGCATCTGATCCCTTTGCTGTTGGGTTTCTCTTTGGACTGTCCTGGACGTGAACCAGAAGGCTTGAAGGTTGATGATCCTGATTTAGAACTTGTTTTAGATGATGACGCTCCCTTTTGCATATTCTTGTTTCGTGAACCTTTTGATACCTGTTTCAAAATTTTAGAAAACTGTTTAGTAAGAAATACAACTGGATCATCACCTATTTCATCTAAGTCAGGTATACAATTATTTTCTTCAGCGGTAAATGCTACTGTTTTTTGTTTTTTCGTGTGATCTGTTAAGATTTCCATCTCATAAGTTCTTAGATTCCCCATTAGTTGTGTTACAGTCTTTTTCTCCCAGTTGTCATGTTCCTGGATCGTTGTAACTTTCATCCGGAACTGAGGTGGCAGCGATCGTAGAATTTTTTTCACCAACTTTTCTTGAGTGAACGGTTCTCCGAGGACCATAGCTCGATTTGCTAGCTCTTGCACACGAGTGTGAAAGGTCACGATGGTTTCATCTTCATTCATCTGGAGCTCCTCGAAGTCTGACTGTACCAGTTGCAGTTTCGATTGTTTTACCGACGTTGTGCCTTCATAGGTAGCCTCTAGTGCTTCCCATGCGCCTTTAGCTGAATCATGGCCTGCAACAATAGGAAATTGACTTTCATGAATTAGCCCATAAATAATATCTAGTGCCTTATCGTTGTGTCCAGCACTTGTTTTCTCAGCTTAGGTCCATTCATTTTCAGGTTTCGTCACTCGAGTTTCATCCTCACTGGTATTGGCTTTGGTTGGATGTTTCCAGCCTGTTACAATGATACACCATACTGCTTCACCTTGTTCTTTGAGATGAGTACGCGTGCGCACCTTCCAATATGCATAGTTGTCACCGACTAGCTGGGGAAGAGCTTTAGTGTGCTCCATTCTGTAACACTCAATAACCCGTGAGATCGAACAATTTAACAAAATCAGAAATAATAATAATAGCCGCTGAAGAATTGAGATCAAGGGGCACGGAGTAGCCAGATCGACAGACTAATAACTTAAGTCTGGTGGCTCTGATACCAATTGAAAAAGCCCGTGTATCTTGAAATCAATTTAACACTAAGGATTCTACTTGATTTCATATTACGAGACAATTTCGCTGTTTAATTAAATCAATTTAATCAACGTATAAATAACGAAATTGAAAGCATAAATAAAGTAAAAACACAGTAGAATTGTTACGCAGTTCGGAGCTCCTTCTCCTACGTCTGCGGGGCAACCCACGTCTGCCTAATCCACTAGATGTTCACTACAGAGTATTACAAGAGGTAACTACAAACGGCTCACAGCCTTTACCACTACAACTCTTCTAAAACACATATTCAGGACTGAACCGTGCATGCCATAACCATCTTTGGTGTATCGCTTCAACTGTCACAGGTACTGACTTGAAGTACAGAATTAAATCACAAATATAACATAATCAATATTAAAGCAGTAATATAGAAAGCTTGCGTATGTGATCAGAATTTCAGAATTGGCAACTTCCTCTTTCGTTTTCCCTTCCTTATATACTGTATGTAATTTCCATTTCACCAAGCCTTGATTGTAGCTTTCATATGTGGCTTGAATTCTTCTCAACCACATCTTCTTTAACTTGAGATCTTCAGACTTGCTCTTTGTCCAACTTATTAACAATAAATCTCCCCCACACATTTTAGCTTGGTCCAAAATA